TCAGGCAGAACACTCATACACATAAAATAAATTTAAAACATCTAAAAAGAAGACAGGTCATTTTGCAATCTAATCGTTCTGTAAACTGGAAATAAAGTATAGATGGCTGCTTGTTGGTTCCTACTTCCTGCTGTGGACCAGTCTCCTGTAAAGTAGACACAACAAACCAAAGGCGTCATAAGACTGAAGAGCCTGAAGAGTGCAGTGTGGCTGGGGCAGTTCTAAAGTGTCCAGATCTCCACAGCTTCCCACGTGTTGGAGGGCTGGCATGGGGTGGGCATCCACCACCTCTTTGTTGCCATCTTAGGTATCTGTGCTTGGGTACACATGCACATAATTATTTAAAACAAACCTTGAACAAAATAGCATTTTAGGCTTTTTGGAAGATATTGTTACTAGTAGACAAAGTAACTGTGATTTTACCGTTCTCATGGGTTTTATATTTTGGAAGGGGAGACAGGCGTTAAATACTCAAACAAGGCGACTTTAGAACGTGATGAAGACAGTGAGCGCACATAACAGGGCACTGGTTTTAAATAGGGGATGGTAAGAGGGCTGTGTGCAGATGAGATGTACATGGGGAGTGGGCTTAGGAGAAGGTGAAGGAAGTGCCCCTGAAGGAATGCTGTCCATCCTGTTTACAGTGTGGAAGAGACTGCTAGGCTGGGGAGCAAGAGCTGGAGGCTGAGTGCTGTGTATGGTGACCTGTGTGCCTGGATCAGCCAACCCAGGTAGGAGAGAAGTGTGAGGTCAGAGGTCAGCTGGTCAGGGAAGGAACACCTTTGAAGTGCACCCTAAGGGACATTTGTTTGTTTCTTTTTTCCAAGTGTGGAGAAAGCCCCAGGAAAAGTAGTATAGCAACTCTTTCCAGGCTAGGGAATTAGTTCACAGCAGGATTTTTTTTCTTTTTCCTTTTAACAGAGGGCGGGTAAATGTTATATATAGAATTTTATGCAAATGGTGTTTGGTCTTATAAGGAATAACAGGAAAAATAAGTTTTCCCCTGGAAATTTCTTCGTTAAAGTTTGTCTAAAAATCAAATACCATTGTGTATAAAGCTTTCCGTTTGCTGGGTGATCGTGGCCTTTAATCCAGCCCTTGGGAAGCAGAGGCGGGTTGAGTTCCAGACCAGCCTGGTCTACAGAGTGAGTTCTTAGACAGCCAGGCCTTCAAAGAAATCCTGTCTCAGAAAGCAAAACAAACAAACAATAAAAAAAAGGGTAACTTTTAGTACCTTCACCGACAGGATCGTAGTGGTTAGTAATAGGGATCTGTCCCTAGCTTTTCTACATATCTGCTAGACAGCACCAGGATTTTTGGCCCTCATTTTTTTGTATTATTGTTCCTTTTTTTATGTAATTGATTTTTTTTTAGTAGAATCTTTAAATTTCTCATTTCCTATTACATGTTCTGAAACTGTTTTCTTTGTGTTTGCCATTGGAGTTACATTTACTAACCTGCAGGAATGCTATTTGAACACTAATTTGAGTTTTGGCAGTGTGATTTTTAGTAATATAAAAACTCCTCTAGATCTGGAGAGATGGCTCAGCTGTTAAGTGCACTGACTATTCTTCCAAAGGACCCGGGTTCAATTCCTGGCGCCCATATGGCAACTCACAACTGTCTGTAACTCTAAGATTCGACACCCTCACACAGACATGCAGGCAAAACACCAGTGCTCATAAAAGCAGAACCCTCTGCTTCTGGGCTGGTGATAGAATATAGCTAGCTCGGTGATAGACTTGATTTTTGCACAGAACCCTGTGTTCAGTCTCCAACACCAGGAAAACAAAAACTCCTTTATGGTCCTCCATCTCTTTCAGTTTGATGTCACAAGACTTTGACCTTCATGCGTGTGTGCCCCCGAACAAACCAAATTTTTTTTCTCATTGAGTTAAATAAAAAATAAAATCTGTAGTTAAATGAAATTTATATTACTATTTTGGCTTTTAGACAAAAATGTTTTGAACAAGCTTGTGAGTTTCTTAAAACACACAGAAACCAAAGTGAGTGGAAGCGTTCACACCGGCCCTCATCTGCGCAGGCGCAGCACTAAGTCTGCGCAGTAGCCGCCCTCTGTCCTGAGTCCTTCCACTTTGTCTCTGAAATGTGTCTCTGCTTACCAGTAGTGAACTTTGTGCGTCTTGTCTGACGCTGTTGTCATGCCCCTGCTTTTGAAGGACAGTTCTGCAGAATATTGGGGTCTTTGTTGACAGCATTTTTTTTCTCTTGGTTCTTTTTCTTTTTTCTTTTTTTTTTGTCAGACTTCTGACCACAAAATCTGACGACATAGTGCCTGGTGATCTTTTGAGGAACCGCCACATGAGACAAATCATTTCTCTCATGTTTCCAAATTTCTTTGTCTTTAATATTTAAATAAAGTTTATTATTTGTTTATATATTTTTTGAGACAGGGCTTCACTGTGTAGTTCTGACTGTCCTGGAACACACTTTTTTTTTTTTTTTTTGTGGAAGGGTTATCCTCACATTTATTTATTTAATTATTTTGAATTTATGGATTTTTTTTGGTTTATTTTTTGCATACCAATCCCAGTTAGTTTCCCCTCCCTCCTTTCCTCCCGCTCCCCGCCCTTCCTCCCACCCACTTAGAGAGGTTAAGTCCTCCCCTGGGAAGCATGCATTAGAGTTAGATCCTGCTGGTGGCCGTACATACTGCCCAAGCCACACCACTGTCACCTGTATTCAGGGGGTCTAGTTCGGTCCTGTGCAGGTTCCACAACTGTCAGTCGGAGTTAGTGATCTCCCACTATTTCGGGTCAGCTGATTCATGGTCTTGACCCCTTTGTTCATATTATCACTCCTCCCTCTTCCACTGGAGGTTGCCCAGTGGTCAGTTGTGGATCTCTGCATCTGTTTCCATCTACTACTTGGAGAAGATTCTAGCTTCTCTGGGATTGTGGACTATAGGCTGGTTACCCTTTGCTTTATGTTTGGTATCCACTTATGAGTGAGTACATACCTGTTTGTCTTTCTGGGTCTGGGCTTTTTTTTTTTTTTCTAGTTCCATTCATTTGCCTGCAAATTTCAAGATGTTATTTTATCTATCTATCTATCTATCTATCTATCTATCTATCTATCTATCTATCTAT